ACCCCTTTTTTTTTTTTTTTTGGGAAGGGGAAAATTAAAAAAAAAAACAAAACTTTTTTTTTTTTTAAAAGTTGGGGGGGGGGGAGGATATTTTCGTTTATTTTTTGAAATGGGAAAAAAACAAGAAAAGGCCCCGGGAGAAATTTTCAGCAGGTTTTTTTCTGGGGTTGGCCCGAAAAAGAATTTGTGTTTTTTTTTTGCTTGCAAATTTTTGGGGGGGAGGGGCCCTTTCAAGGAGAGAGGGGGGGAAGGGTTCTTTTTCCCATCCTTTTGCGGGGGTTTGGGGGTTATGGGTGAACTTGGCCCTTGGGGTGGGTTTGGTTTCCTTTTTCCAGGGCGAAAAAAACATCCTTTCCCTTGGAAAAAACCCCCGATTTTCGGGGTTTTTTGGATTTCTTTTTGAACCGGTTTTTCTTTTTTAAAAAAGGGCGGGCTTTTTTTTTAGGGGGGGGGGGGACTTGACGCCCCATTTTTTGGGTGGGCAACCCCCCCCCCCCCCCGCCGCGCGCGCGCTTCATTCGCAGGGCGCGGATCTCTTCTACAAGAAGAGCGAAAAGGAGCAGGAGAGGCTCAAGCTTTCCGAGGTCAAGCACGCGCGCCTGGCGATGCTCGCGATCATCGGCGAGCTGACGCAGATGATGATGTTCCACAAGGTGAATTAATGCCCATATGAACCCAACCCAGCCCCGTTCCAGGTTGACGATGGTATCTATTGGTTCCGCGGAGTTTTCATTGTACCATGTGCATACCATATTGCCTCCTCACCATTATCTACTGCTGTTGCCAGAGTGATCAGCTTTCACTCACTCCTTGTCTTGTTGCTGGTCGGGTTGCATTTTAGGACTTGTGCACGGAGAACATTAGCATTTGCCGGGGAGAGAGGGCGGATATGGTTTGGTGGCCGTTGTTTTGATGGTTCAGTCACAGGTTTCGCAGGGGGGAGGGGGGGGGGCGGGGGATTCGCCGAAGATCGGGCGGGGGGGGGTTATTGTTACCCCTTTTGACGGCGCGGTTCGCTTCTCTCTTCGCCGGATGCTGTGCTCCATTTACGGCAGAACGTGTTGCCGCGATTTATCATACGGAGATCCCCAACTTTGATCGCTGCGCATCGTATTCCACTCATGTTTTTCCATTTGATTGAACCTCACACCGCCGTCGCTGGTGGTGCTATTCGATTAGTCTTTTTTGCCTACACGTGGAAGGCGAGACACCTCGAGAAGTTACACGGGGCGCGCGTGCCGCACCTCCACCTGACAAGCCGTACTTGTGCTCGGCGATGTTAAAACATTTTTTTTTGTCTCATCCGAGCCCCTCCTGCACCCGCCACCCGCTCTTGCGTTCCTCTCGGTGCTTGCTTGGTGATTCGTGATGCAGCCCTCCTTCGACTTCTAAGCGGCGCCGTCCGTGGCGGGGCACCCCCATCACATGTTATGAAATGAATCAAAGAAGGAGAGAATTTTTTCTTTTCTTTTTCAAGGGTGTCCCATGCTCCGAACAGCGCGGCAGTGACTGGCCGCCTACCTTCGCGTTGGCAGGGGGCAGTCGGGGGAGGGGAGGCGGGCGGGAGGGGCGCATGTTTCTGATTTCATAGGTTTTGTCCACCACGATGTGTGAAGGGTAGGATCGAGAATAGTAGTTAGTTACGGCTTCCTTTGAGATGGGCCCGCCCGTTAGTGTGCCTCGTCTCGTGGTAGTTGACCCCCCTCCCCCACCCGTGTTTTTGTCAGTGTACCCCCCCTCCCACGTTTGGACAAGTCCTGCGTGTACACAGCAAAACTAGACGAGCGACTATTATGTCGGGTCGAAGCGTTTGCAGCACGCTCGGATGCCGGAAACTGATTCCGCCGGCGTGTTTCGTTGATTCAGGTAGAACGGGCGCGGGGTGAGGTATAGAGGTACGTTTGCTTTTGGGGTGTTTCTTAACAAGGAGCAGCAGCGTTGCATTAAGTGATTCCCTCTTCTCGTATCTCACGGGTCGGGGTTTTCATGTTCGATGGCGCAGCGGTGTCAGGGGAGGGGAGGGGGACAAAAGAAATGTGATTGATTGTGTTCGTTTCGATTCTCCTTTACCACTTTTCTGTACGCGGCGTCATCGTTTTAAGGGACCCCCCCGCCCGGCGGGGGCCCCGTGGTGTTCCTTCTGGGTGGTGGCGGTGGCCTGAGACGTAGGTCTGGTGAAGAGAGTTCAGCAGAGCCTTGGAGCGTTCTTGCGGCAGTCAAGCGGTGTGGCCTGTCTCTCTCTTCCATATAAGCGAAGCGGTAGAAGTTTTTCGTGTTTGCTCGCGTCTTTTGAGATTCTCGGATCAACCAGATGGCACCATCCAAATTGTTTCCCCGAACATCATCACCCAGGCACTCGTGGTCTCAGGTCGTCAGTCCTCTCTTTGTGCGACGCTGTCTGGAGTAAAGCACGAGCTGCTTTCGAACGTATGTGCGGTGGCGGTAGCAGTGCATGAATCGATGGAGATCATGCCGTCACCATACGGCTCATCCTTGATTTCGTGGCAATAAACGCGAGATGGTACAATTGGTACAATTCTTGAGGGGACCATGGGCTTCAAAACCGTACGGGGTGAAAGGAGGGGATCAAAACCAACGGCGCCGCCGTGCTTGCGCACGCCTGTGTGAGTTAGTTCACCACAAGCTTAGAACCCGACCCAAAACAACCGAGGCTAAATTAATTAAACGCGTTTTGATCGGCTGCAGTGATTTGCAGGAATTACTTTGCTGCAGACAAGAGCAGCTTTTATAGTCACGGGGCCCGAACGGACGCAAAATCTAAACGAATGTTAGTCCTTGGGTGGGCGTGCACCCCCCCCCCCCCCCCCCCCCC